TATTCAAGTAGTTTTTAGTGGGAATGTCCTTTGTATAATCATAATGAGTCAGTCCTTTAATAAATTTCAATTAGGTTCGTTCGTCTCGATAAAAGCGTTCTTCATTTGATATTCTTATCGAATGCACCTCATAAGAGATTGAAAGTATAATGCACTCACAATCGCAATGCTAATCGCTCTGGGAAACCTTCTTAACTCATTGACTGCTATTTGATCGCTGGCCACAAATTTATCTCAGAATCTCGAGAATTCAATTCATTCCATTGCATTATCACAAGAAAATTCCCATAAAATTTATGTACTGCTGTGAAAAATACTTTAAATTCTTTAGAGCTACATACAAGTCATTCGAGGAATGCAAAACTGCTCTCAAACTTGCGGATCATTTAAATTCTTCATAAACAATTTCTATAACATGCGGAGCAATTGAAATTCCGGTCTTCTCCGTGAATGAGAACTAGTGCGTCAGAGTACGGACATAATAGAGCGTATTTATCAGTTCTCAGATTGATTAACTCGACACAGGAGGCATGTTATTGGAGAGCGATGTCAGTAGAAGGAAGTATTGAAATGAGTTTGACGTTAAGGAAGTTCCACGTGAATTTTGCGACTGAATCGACCCTTGTTTGCAAAGCATCAACAGTAATGAAGAACAACACCTATTGTCGCTGTACTTGTCGGTTCATCACAATTAGGACACAACCGAATCAATGGCATTTGTCGCTCAAAATGTGCTTTTGATGATTCACTTCAAACTATGACAAGCTTGCAGTCTTATTTTATGAGCTAATTCAACAAGAGCTTGCTACAAGCAATAATTGCTTAGTGTGCGATGATTTAATGGCGAAACTGTTCACTTGCGTCGGAAAATGTTATCGTTATGAGAAGAATCATCCGTGATCGCATTTAATTGGGTCCGTTGCATGCCAATTAGTGATGTTCAACCAACGGACTAGACATCGGGAATGGCGATGTGAGGAGTGAAATTTAATAGCACATACTCTCGTTAACGTTCATAATTATACTGTTGCGTTTGCCTGTTCGAAAGAATTTCCACTCTCGAGTGATTTAAAAGACATAAAAGCGGCTATCCTTATTTTGCACCTTCAATTTTTATCTATAAAATGTGCCGGAATATTTTGTCTTGGCTTATGTTTCAAAATAGTCAGCAGCCTGCACAGTGGCTTCTAGAGTTGTTTTTTAACTTTCCCGGTTCACCAAATTTAAAAATTTGATAGTTCCGAATGATTGGATCATTCGAAGAGACATCGTTCGTGTGCTTAATAATGCGCAAACATCGTACGAATACAGCGGTTATAGCCGATGTATTTTGCCCTTTTTGAGCCTAAGTTCAAACGTAGAATTGAATATAGCCGCAGAAATGCGAGGCCAATTCGAGCGAATGGGGCTGCGCTAGGCCCTCGTTTATTGCTTCCACTCGTGCGACGCTTGAACACTGTATTTGTGGCAGGCAGTTCGATAGTGAAAGTTATCGTAGAAAAACGACAAAGCGAGTTTTTAGCAAATTTACAACCCATATGATAAACTTTGAATGATAATTGTTCGCTTGATCTGAAAAAAAATTGACTGACCTATATTCAATTGAATCATTACACTGACTTCATATATCGACAGTGGACACCAAATAACTTCAAACAGATTTTTACTATCATTAGTTGCAATTCATCGAAACTCGTATATTTCGGTAATTGGGCAACTTTTATGACTTCTAGAGATATGAGTGAGTGCTTCCGCAGTACACTTCTCAACAATAATATATATATTCTCAACACGATTGCCTTCGTTTATGATTGATTCTTCTCAAGTGAATTGTACTTAATGCAATCCAATTCATTCTCTTCTAACTTTCATCTCTTTATCACTTGATGCTTATTCCATAACAATGAACAAAATCAAGACAGAATTTCACACTCAGCATCACAGTATCATCCAGTCACGATCGTGTATCCTTGGTCCCATGTCCGTCACATGTTCCTTCTATCCAGCTTGCATTTCCTGTCATTTCACTC